TTTAAGAAGAAGTGTGAATTTGAGAGGTATATGAGATCCAAATTTATGGCACACATTAGCAAACTCTAAAGTAGCAAAACATCATGTACGTTAACTGACTGGTTACTGACTGTCAAACATACTTAAGTGTAGCTTTCTGTTCTCAGACACCCTTGGGCAGGGCTGTGACTGAGACTTCAAGTTGGTAGGTAAATACAACAAGTAAAGAAATTACAAGCTATTTGATTCCCCACCTAGCTTCTATTTTTCTATTTTCCTATGAAAGTAGCTGGAGGAAGTACCTGGGCCCCGGCTGTCAGTGACAGTCCTGATTAGGATCGGAAAAAAAGTGTCTATTGAAGGGAGGTTAATAAAGCATCATTGGTAATGATTTGTCTCTGGTGCAATGACTAGGTGTCAACATAGAGAAAGTGTCTTTTAGGATAGGTCAAACTGTACAAAGGCTACCTGGATCTCAGTCGTATGGTATCTTGTGACTTTTTAATGGACAAAATATGAGATCACGGACTACACCCTAGCTCCTCTGCAAAGGTCTATCTGAAGCTGCAAATCTCGAAAACTTCATTTTCATTGGCCTGTGAAAACACATCTTCTATTGTTTCTATGGGAAAAAAGGCCTTTAAGTGGGTGGTTAAATTGTCAAGGTTGTAGGATAAGGAAATGACTGGACTTTTGTTGTGGGCAGAAAAAGGTGGTCATATGGCAAAAATTCCACTGTTCATAATTACATTATGCTAATAAGATTTCCTTTGAATGGTCACACTGCATTTTTGTGAAAATGATTCATATCCTTTTTTTAAGAAAGGTAAAGATGAAATTTTAGAGGTATGCATAAAAGTGCAGAAAAATTGTTCAACACCTGTTTAAAAGTAAAATTGTAACATCTTTTCATTGCTTTTTAAAATGCATATCCAAGGACATTGTTATTCTGGAAAGATTACCCTCACAAATAGTTCCTTCCCCATAGGAAAGAGCCACTTACAGGGGCAGAATAGTTAATGTAACCACAGCTAACTTTCAGTCATTTAATGACACCACTTTTGAGTAAGAGTGACCCCCTAAATGGGCAGTTGCCATCTTATTTTAAACTTTGCAATATATATGTAAGGCCAAACGTTCTCATTCAAGGGTGTATGTGTGGTGGTTCTAATTTGGTTTTTTTGGAACAAAAGAAAAAGGAAAAATTATTTATACTGTTGCAGGATAGGTAAAAACATGAATTATTGCAGTTAAGACAGTTGGTGTGGTATATTTTGAAGTAATGGTATTGACCTCAAGGTCAGCTGAGTTCATGATTATACATTGTATTCAGTACAAAATAATATTAAGTTTCATAGACCTTGGGGGGAATAATTTTTTAAAACCTTGATGAAAACACCCAAACACATACCAGATACAATAAATCCCCAGTCACCAATCTGCAAAAGTATACATATAATTGACCGTAATATAGCTTTTTGTTTGTGTGTTTGTTGGTACTTGTTTTAAGAAATCTTTTTGGTTTTACATAAATTATTCATAAATTAAGTGGTGTGATTGAATAATTTATTCAAAATACTACAGCTGGATGATGCTTTTATAGTTTTGAAAGTGATGTAGTTTTTGCTTTTGATCTTTATCTTTTCTTTTCAGAACTCACTATTTTCAAAAAACAAAATTCTTCCAACAGTTATTATTAACTGTTTTTTTGCATATACCTTTTTTTCTAAATTACTACTATGTGTTAGAAACTGTCAAGGGATATAAACTATAGTTACATGTATAGTTGTATAACAAAACTTGAACTTAAAGATTTTGCTGTCCTCTGTTTGTTTGCTATCAGCCTTTTAAACTAAACAAAATTTAACTGAGAAAAGTCCATTAATTTTCAGCCAGAAAGAAAGAAAACAAATTCTTAAATCATGCTATTTTTAGAAATCGTATCTCTAAAGTATTCATGAACAGTTTCCTTTAACAGTCTGAGAAGCTATTTTTAGAAATTTTGTATTAATTATTTATTAGCTTTGCATCTAGTGTTAATGTATGCAATGTTGCTATTCTGATAAGCTGCAAGGAGTTTGGTGTTTGAAACTGAAGTAAGGCTTGTGTGTTTGTTTTTCTTTAGTGAAGGTACGTTTCATGTTTTATCATAAATTTTTTGTGCTTTTTTCATTCCTTTCTTGGCATCAAAAAACTGATCAAAGTGATTTTTATTTATTCATTTATTTTTTCAGTCATGAAGAAACAGACATTTTACAGTCTATTTTACTATTGTTATTACATTCGTGGCTACAGGTGTAGCTTTTAGGTTCACAACCAAATGTGAGAGAACTTTACTTTACTACTGTCATTTACCATAAATCAAAAATGTGGCGCTGGAACTCTTTAATCGTAACAGTTTCCTAACTTTTAAGTCAGCAGCTCATTAACATGGCACTGTATTTTTCAGTATTTTAGAAAATGAAATAATTGTAATTTTCCTTGAATTTTGCAGCGATCCATATTCCCATTCGTCTGGTCATCTCAGGTGACTACAATCCTGTACAAATGATTAAGATAACTTAAAAAGTCGCCCTTCGGATGAGTGAGGTTTTTCTCAACCACAAAATCTTTTCAAAAAATTATTATATGTTTTTATACGTTTTCCTTGTGTTCTTATTACTTCTCTGATTTAGTTAAAACTTTTAGAAAATGGAGAATAACAAGCTGCTTTTGTCTGCAATGAAATCGTGAGTTTGGGTGTCATCTTTGATGGTGCAGCATTTTCTACGAAAGGCTCACTTTTTTTTGAAGTACTGCATTCAGAGACCATTCGTAGAAAATTTGTCAGCAATCTTAAAGATCTGGCATTTTGTAGAGGGCGTTTCGTTGCCTTTGGCGAAAAAAAAAAAAGATGTGACCTTTTTTAGAAGACGTTTCGCAAAAAGGTGATGCAGGAGCTGCTGCCTTATATGGGGGAAAAGGCAAGCTTACCATCTTGCCTTCATGGTAAACTGACCAACAAACGTGGTGGCTACTTGTAACACGTAAATAAGCTATGTTTAGCGTACGCCTGTAGCCTGTTGTACTTAAAAGTTTAGTTAAAACCCTTTCGTGACAACTATAACGGGAATAAATGCTAATCAGAAATATTCAAGTTGCACGCAATTTTTTCACCATTCTTTTAAGTATATAAACTGTTTATATAATTCTGCACTTTTTTCTGGGCAACCCAAATTGAAAATGGGCAAGTACATGTATGCTATCAGGCTGACTTGCCCAGCTGACAACTCTGAGAAAAAATGAATATGGATCCCTGAATTTTGACTTATTAGTACATTGTACTTTTAAAAATATAAAGATACTTGCTAGGGTTTGAAACACTGGCTGTATTGATGAGGAGAATTTATGTAACAATCTTGCCATTTCATCCTTGGTGATTGTTCCTTTATGCCCCGATATTTATGTTTGATTAAGCAGGGTTCAACCTCCCTTAGCCCTTTAAGTCCCAAGAGTGACCAACATCCATTTTCTCCAAACAGTATCAATACACAATTAAGAGAAAAGGTTATGAGAATTGATGAAATAATCACCTAATGGAAAATGCTTTGATCTTTTATCAATTTCTCTCAACTTGTTCTTCATGGAGATGTGTAGAGACCAGTCTGGAGAATTTATGTTTTTTGGCTTTAAGGGTTATTCCAGTGGTGACCAGCAACTCAGCTGATTTCTCACTACACAATTAAGACGTAATAAGACGTAAAGGTACTAGATTTTGTTTCATTAATCATGTTACCGAGGGAAAACATATCAATGGAGGAAGTGTGGCCCAGTGGTCCGAGTGCTGGACCTGCAATCTGACAGTCTCAGGTTCTAGTCCTGCTGCTTCCTTTGGCTTGATTTGCTTTACAGTAGCACCAAGTTCAACTTTTTGGCCACATTTGTAAAATGCAATAGAATCCCAGCTTTTGCAACCTCATTTTATCAAACCTCCCAGTAACTGACTTTTCTTCCCGAATCAGGCACTCAAATAGAGTGGAAAAGTGGGACGTCATAAATAATCATATTTGTGAAGTTATGGGGTTGGTTAGCATATTCAGAAACAACAACATGAAAAAACGCCATTGCCAAAAATTAGACTGTTAGTGCAAATTGGTGGATAGATATAAGCCCCAGTTTGCTCTGATGACTCCATACAAATCTTTCTAGGCCTATTTTAGAAGAGTTTACATGGAGACATGAAAGGATAACCCTGCTTATATCTCCTCGCCAATTTGCACCAACAGGCTGATTTCTGGCAAGTGAACTTTTTTCATGGATATGCCAACCAATCACATAATTTCACAAATCTAGTTTTTGTGACATCATCACTTCCCTTCTCTATTTCCTCCTTTTTACCCCACATTTGAGATTTGAATCAATTTTTTGTTCCTAAGAGGGTATGAAAAATTGGGATTCCATTGACATCAAATGGCTTGCCTCATGCCGCTTGGAATTTCTTATGTTTGTACATTGAATTAGAATTTTTTAAGTGATTTGCATTGCCCCACAAGCCTTTGTGCTAAAATCCTGCAGAAGGTAAATTAAGGTTTAATCATTTCATTGTTCTTGGTTTTTAATCAGATGACTATGGATGACAAGTATGTAGAAGATATTTGGAATTTATTGAAGAATGCGATTCAGGAAATCCAGAAAAAGAACAACAGTGGCCTGAGTTTTGAAGAACTGTATAGGTAAAATGATTATCTCGACTTTACTTGTAGTTACACATGTGTACAGTAAGCATGGTGTTTGGGTGACTAGAAAATCGTTACATACTGTCTTGTAGTATACTGCAAGTACATGGAAGTGCTGTTATGTAAATTCTAATCAAAGGCAGGCTTTTCTTCTCACCTGTTATTGATTTGTTTGGTAGGAATGCTTACACTATGGTTCTACATAAGCATGGAGAAAGATTATACTCTGGGCTCAAGCAGGTTGTTACAGATCATCTCATAGAAAAGGTGTGGTATCTTCCTTCTGCGGTTAATGTTCTTCTTGCCAGCTGAGATTGTGAAAAAGGCATGAAATGAATTTTTCTCTGAATGGAGCCTTTTGTCTTGTAAGTGCTGTTGCTTTGTCGTGTGGCAGACAAATGGGATTCAGTTTGTGACAATGTGTTTATTTGGGTGTTTTTCTCTTCGGTCATGTTTTCTCCTTTTTGCTTTACTCTTGTAAGATTCGCAAAGATGTCGTGGCTTCACTCAATAACAATTTCTTGGATACATTGAATGCTGCTTGGAATGATCACCAGACATCTATGGTGATGATCAGAGATATTCTTATGTACATGGTAGGTCATTGCTCTTAAGAAAATACTTCATAAAGGTCGTTGCAATTGTTCACTCTGCAGTGTTAGAGAAACTTTATTCTAAAGGGTTTTGTTAATCCTTTGTCTAACGATAGTCACTTAGTTATTGATCATGATGTTTCAACCGTGTAGTGCAGGTCTTCATTAGGCGATTGTCTTCATTTATTGAGTGAGACTATTAGTACTGCCATGATATTTTACTCTTGCCTCTAATAATACCAGCAATGCTGCGGATTAAATCCACCAACCACGAGTGAGGTTCGTGATACACCACTCACTAACAACCACCTAAGGGACTATAGTGAGACAAAGGATGAACAAAATCCTTGACCAGGCTCTACCATGTTAAAGTACTCCAGCAACGCTTGGCATGGTGGCCACTGGCAACTTACTCTTGTCCTTGGGTAACTAGGATATCTTAGTTTTTGCATTCATCTCATGCTGTGCACCCTAGATTTCATGGGTTCAGAACAGTGGGCTTCATGAAATTTGTCTTAGAGTACTGCCTTTGTAATGCTCAAGTGCTCTAGTTTGAATGGTGACACTATAGGATTTACATTAATGTATCTGCAAAATCGCAAGTTAGAAAAATGTTTCTGGTCTTCTAAAATAGCTTTGACAGTAAGAGGAGTAAGAGCTGATCTCCCCACTTACAGTATTGTCTCTCTCTTTTTTTCAGGATAGAGTGTATGTTCAACAAAATGGTGTTGATAATGTTTACAACTTAGGCTTAATCCTCTTCAGGGACCTGGTTGGTTTCTTGTTGATCTAATTCCTGATAGATTTTTAGAATATTTTGTCAGTTCGTGGTGGTTTCTGTTTCCAATTTAATTGTCTGCTTGAAAAAGTATCATTATTTCATTGCTTGTTTGTTTCCTATTAAAGGTTGTACGGTATGGTAATATAAGAGATCATCTTTGTCAAACACTACTAACACTGGTGAGAAGAGAGCGTAAAGGAGAAGTTGTGGATAGGTACAGTGTACCCTATTATTATATTACCAGCGTATGGTAGTCTCATACAAAAATGCTGTAAACTGCTGCTTATAAGCTCTGGGCTTGTGCATCTTGATAAGGGGTTTTAAGAGGGCCTATAAATGAAGGGGCTTATATCTGTGAGGGTAATTCTGCACTTTTTTCTGGGCAACCCAAATTGAAAATGGGCAAGTACATGTATGCTATCAGGCTGACTTGCCCAGCTGACAACTCTGAGAAAAAATGAATATGGATCCCTGAATTTTGCGTTATTAGTACATTGTACTTTTAAAAATAGAAAGGTACTTGCTAGGGTTTGAAGCACTGGCTGTATTGATGAGGAGAATTTACGTAACAATCTTGCCATTTCATCCTTGGTGATCGTTCCTTTATTCCCTGATATTTATGTTTGATTAAGCAGGGTTCAACCTCCCTTAGCCCTTTAAGTCCCAAGAGTGACCAACATCAATTTTCTCCAAACAATATCAATACACAATTAAGAGAAAAGGTTATGAGAATTGATGAAATAATCACCTAATGGAAAATGCTTTGATCTTTTATCAATTTCTCTCAACTTGTTCTTCATGGAGATATGTAGAGACCAGTCTGGAGAATTTATGTTTTTTGGCTTTAAGGGTTATTCCAGTGGTGACCAGCAACTCAGCTGATTTCTCACTACACAATTAAGATGTAATAAGACATAAAGGCACTAGATTTTATTTCATTAATCATGTTACCAAAGGAAAACACATCAATGTCCAAAAGAGGAGGAAGTGTGGCCCAGTGGTCAGAGTGCTGGACCTGCAATCTGGCAGTCTCAGGTTCTAGTCCTGCTGCTTCCTTTGGCTTGATTTGCTTTACAGTAGCACCAAGTTCAACTTTTTGGCTACTTTTGTAAATGCAATAGAATCCCAGCTTTTGCAACCTCAGTTTATCAAACCTCCCAGTAACTGACTTTTCTTCCCAAGTCAGGCACTCAAATAGAGTGGAAAAGTGCGACGTCATAAATAATCATTTTGTGAAGTCATTGGGTTGGTTAGCATATTCAGAAACAACAACATAAAAAAACTCCATTGCCAAAAATTAGACTGTTAGTGCAAATTGGTGGATAAAAATATAAGCCCCAGTTTGCTCTGATTACTCCATACAAATCTTTCTAGGCCTATTTTAGAAGGGTTTACGTGGAGTCATCAAAGGATAACCCTGCTTATATCTCCTCGCCAATTTGCACCAACAGGCTGATTTCTGGCAAGTGAACTTTTTTCATGGATATGCCAACCAATCACATAATTTCACAAATCTAGTTTTTGTGACATCATCACTTCCCTTCTCTATTTCCTCCTTTTTACCCCACATTTGAGATTTGAATCAATTTTTTGTTCCTAAGAGGGTATGAAAAATTGGGATTCCATTGATGCCAAATGGCTTGCCTCATGCCGCTTGGAATTTCTTATGTTTGTACATTGAATTAGAATTTTTTTAAGTGATTTGCATTGCCCCACAAGCCTTTGTGCTAAAATCCTGCAGAAGGTAAATAAAGGTTTAATCATTTTATTGTTCTCTGTTTTTAATCAGATGACTATGGATGACAAGTATGTGGAAGATATTTGGAATTTATTGAAGAATGCGATTCAGGAAATCCAGAAAAAGAACAACAGTGGCCTGAGTTTTGAAGAACTGTATAGGTAAAACGATTATCTCGACTTTACTTGTAGTTACACATGTGTACAGTAAGCATGGTGTTTGGGTGACTAGAAAATCTTTACATACTGTCTTGTAGTATACTGCAAGTACATGGAAGTGCTGTTATGTAAGTTCTAATCAAAAGCAGGCTTTTTTTTCTCACCTGTTATTGATTTGTTTGGGTAGGAATGCTTACACTATGGTTCTACACAAGCATGGAGAAAGATTATACTCTGGGCTCAAGCAGGTTGTTACAGATCATCTCATAGAAAAGGTATGGTATCTTCCTTCTGCGGTTAATGTTTTTCTTGCCAGCTGAGATTGTGAAAGTGGCATGAAATGAATTTTTCTCTGAATGGAACCTTTTTCCTGTAAGTGCTATTGCTTCATCTTGTGGCAGACAAATGGGATTCAGTTTGTGACAATGTGTTTATTTGGGTGTTTTTCTCTTCAGTCATGTTTTCTCATTTTTGTTTTTTTCTTGTAAGATTCGCAAAGATGTCGTGGCTTCACTCAATAACAATTTCTTGGATACATTGAATGCGGCTTGGAATGATCACCAGACATCTATGGTGATGATCAGAGATATTCTTATGTACATGGTAGGTCATTGCTCTTAAGAAAGTACTTCATAAAGATCAGGGTTTGCAAATACGCCAAATTTGGTGTATTTTACACCAGAATTGTTCAGATGATTTCACATAGGTTATGGAGGGAGTCACTTCGACTCCAGAAATTTTCGGTGACAAACAGAGAGCCACTTCGACTCCAGAAATTTTCGGCAACAAACACAGTTTTGTCCTTACCCTTTTTGCAACAAATACAATTTACGTTAATTGTAAATGTTGTAAACCTTAATTAAATCATCAAAATTAAAGAATTATACTGCACGACAAAACAGGAAGAGGGTAAATTACGATCAAAGTTTACTCTATGACCACCATCCTGGATTTGAGCTTTCCAGGTCAGTGGACCACCACAGCTACTTTTTGTATCCCTCAGGATAGTGTATACATGCCAGGACCACATAATGGAAAGTCGGAAAGTGGCTTTTTTTCGTTGTGATACTTGACTCCAAATATTCCAAAATGACTCCAAAATTTGTGAAGTAGAAGTCATGGTGACTCCACTCATCAATAAAATTTGCAAACCCTGAAGATGGTTGCAATTGTTCACTCTGCAGTGTTAGAGAAACTTTATTCTAAAGGGTTTTGTTAATGGTTTGTCTAGCGATAGCCACTTAATTATTGATCATGATGTTTCATCCGTGTAGTGCAGGTCTTCATTAGGCGATTGTCTTCATTTATTGAGTGAGACTGTTAGTACTGCCATGATATTTTATTCTTTCCTCTAATAATGCCAACAATGCTGCAGATCAAATCCACCTACCACGAATGAGGTTCGTGATAACACCACGCACTGACAACCACCTAAGAGAATATAGTGAGACAAACCAGGAACAAAATCCTTGACCAGGCTCTACCATGTTAAAGTATATGTACTCTAGCAGCACTTGGCATGGTAGCTACTGGCAACTTACTCTTGCCCTTGGGTAACTAGGATATCTTACAATGTAGTTTTTGCATTCATCTCGTGCTGTGCGCCCTAGATTTCATGGGTTCAGAACAGTGGGCTTCATGAAATTTGTCTTAGAGTACTGCCTTTGTAAAGCTAAAGTGCTCTAGTTTGAATGGTGACACTATATGATTTACATTAATGTATCTGCAAACTCGCAAGTTAGAAAAATGTTTCTGGTCTTCTAAATAGCTTTGAGAGTAAAATGAGTAAGAGCTGATCTCCCCACTTATTGCTTATTACAGGATTATCTATCTTTTTTTTCAGGATAGAGTGTATGTTCAACAAAATGGTGTTGATAATGTTTACAACTTAGGCTTAATCCTCTTCAGGGACCTGGTTAGTTTCTTGTTGATCTAATTCCTGATAGATTTTTAAAATATTTTGTTAGTTCGTGGTGGTTTCTGTTTCCAATTTAATTGTCTGCTTGAAAAAGTATCATTATTTCATTGCTTGTTTGTTTCCTGTTAAAGGTTGTACGGTATGGTAATATAAGAGATCATCTTTGTCAAACACTGCTAACACTGGTGAGAAGAGAGCGTAAAGGAGAAGTTGTGGATAGGTACAGTGTACCCTATTATATTACCAGCGTATGGTAGTCTCATACAAAAATGCTGTAAACTGCTGCTTATAAGCTCTGGGCTTGTGCATCTTGATAAGGGGTTTTAAGAGGGCCTATAAATGAAGGGGCTTATATCTGTGAGGGCCTATAAATGGAGGGACTTATATGTGTGAGGGCCTATAAATGGAGGAACTTATACATGCATCTGAGGGGGCCTATAAACGGAGGGACTTATATCTGAGGGGGCCTATAAATGGAGGGACTTATATCTGCAAGGGCCTACAACAGGAATAGAAAAAACATTTAAAACATGCTATAGCAGTGCTGATCAAAATACAATTTGCATTAACCTGGTTTTTATCAAGCTGCCAAATTTCATTTCAATACATTTGGAACAGAAGCTATGTGGGGGGGGGGGGGGGGGGGG